TTTGTATCCCCCCCCAAAGACTTCAAGTTGGGTTGTGTAAAAGGTAAAGCTGACCAACACACACAAACACAGGGTTACAGAATAAAATCCAGTTACAGATAGGTAGCCGTGTTGGTCTGCCACAGTCAAAACAAAAAAAAATTCCTTCCAGTAGCACCTTAAAGACCAGTAGCACCTTAAAGACCAACTAAGTTAGTTCTTGGTATGAGGTAGTTCAGTATCTGAAGAAGTGTGCATGCACACGAAAGCTCATACCAAGAACTAACTTAGTTGGTCTTTAAGGTGCTACTGGTCTTTAAGGTGCTACTGGAAGGAATTTTTTTTTTAGAATAAAATCCAGACATTTATAAGTTACCAGGGAATGTGATATAAATAATAGTACTGTCAGCTCCCTAGGTTATCAGAATAAACATCTCTTTTGACCAGTCCTTTTTTTTTAAAAAAAAAGGGTTAAAAAAAAGTGCTGGTACTTACCATGAAGTTGTCAGAGTAAGTGCCGCATTTTAAACATTGGGGCGGTACTACGTATCTTTGAGTACCCCCAGAAAGCACTGTTCATGACCACTTGTTAAAATGAGTCTTCATAGGGTGACATCTCTGTAAATTGGGAAACCACCAGAGAAAAAGCCCCTCCGCCCGATTATCACTAGACTTGGGAGATTTCAGACCATGTTTGAAATCTGAATGAAATGACCAGGTTCTGAAAATGATCCTAAAACAGTTTGCCCCCCCCCCCACTTCCCTGGGTGTAAAATTGGCCGGTAAATTGATCTACAGTCAATCAGGGAAATGGTGAATTTCTTTTTATAGGTGAATTTCTTTTTATATGTATAGTTGCCATATGGATAATTAATCCAGTTTTGCAGAATAATCACGAATCAGCGCACAGGAATAATTCACTTCCAAACTTGCAATGCAGTCAGCCTGTCCTGCAATGGAGGAGATATGCAGATGCCCAGAATTTGTTTGGAGCAGATATCTCAGCAAATATCTTCGTACTCTTTAAACAGGAATATGGTTCTTTTTCTCTCCCCCAGCCCCCATTTGTAATAATAATTGTTATTATTATTTGAATTTATATACCGCCCGATACCTGGAGAATAAAACCAAAATAGAAAACCACAAAATACATAATCAAAATTAAAACAACAACCCAATAACCCCCCAAAAAAACACACATTTTTAAAAAAGGGCATAGGATCCTCACAACATTTAAATTAAGACAATTAACAAAGCTGGACAAGAATCACTGGCTGGAAAGACCATGATCTCAGAAATGTTTGCAGCAATATTTATTTATTGGCAACCCAATTGGCCAGGTGCCTTTCTGATACAAAAACAAAAAAAATAGCTTTGAAATAAGAGTGGGGGGGGGGAATTTGCCATGTAAGCATATGGCAAGGGCGGGGGGAGAGAGAGAAGCCTTCCAAGCTTCAACAGAGAAGGTGCAAGGTATATCAACGCATGCCATATTCTTTACCATGTATCGTTACAGTTCCCAATGGAGCTTGTATGAAATCCTGGCCCCACACAGGCACTTAGCCAAGATGCACCAGCAGCATAATTCGCACCCAACGATGCACGTGCAAGACTAGAAGGGGGAAGTGGAGCGCTGCCGGTGTGACCAATTGCTCAGATAATTGTGCAGAACTGTTGACAGGCATTCCATTAGCAGCAGATTGCCCCTATTTAACTGGCAGCTGTGGTACGGCCAAGGCTCCTGCTGCTTGCAAGGGCTTACTTTGAATACACAATGCCAATTACATAGGCCGAACTCTTCAGGTCTTTTGACAGGTACCCTCGAGATTTCCGCAATTAATTTTATTATGCACTTTCTGCCTAAAATGCCCTTGGAAGTAGGGGGAAGTTGTCTAGTATGTGTCTGGGAGGGTGTGTGTGTGTGTGTGTGTGTGTGTGTGTGTGTGTGTAAGGAGTCTTTCAATGGGTGGGTGTGCAGAGGGAACAGGGAGACAAGGCACTGGAGTTCATTTGGAGACATGAAGTGGCAAAGCACTGCAGAAAGAACTTGAGCTACTCATTAGCTGCATTTAAAATTACAAGAGATCCATGGGCAGAAGTGGAGTCAACCTGATAGTCCTGATATACTCTTGGAACAATTGGAGGAGGGTGGATTTGCATTTAACACTCACAGCAGTAGCTTTAATTATGCCAAGTATCTCACAATCACAAGTGTACCACTGCTGTTCCAGGAGAAGGAGAGACGTCATCTTACAATCAGCCCAAGATAAAGTAAGAAATACCAGTGTATATACACACAACTCCCCTTCGACTCTGATACAGGGACACAAAGTTGTTTGGCAGTTCTTAATCATTCTCTGATCCAACGTGCTTTTTCCTAAAACCTTACTGCTCCATGGTTAAACCCAATGGCCAATTGTCAGCAACTGTGCTATGGTTTCAGGATGCAGCAGTGATCTGGACACTGAACTGGGGACTACGGTGTCATCAACAAAGGAACCCAGACCAGGTTCCAGGTTCTGCAACCTGATCAGGGAACCAATGCCCCAAATCAGGTACCCTATTGAACTTGATGCTAAAGCTCCAGAGTTAGGACCATCATGGGTGACTTCTCCTGGTCCTGAGGAACTAAGTGTCTCCCATTGTACCTTGCTAAATTCAGCAGCACAGGGAACACACCGGGTAGGAAGGACACAGGAGAAGTTCCTGTGTCAAAAAGGGAATACAGCCCAGAAGAGGTGAACTAGAGGCAGAGACCAGAAAGACTTCAGATCACTCCCAAACATGGTTGGAACAAGTCGGTCACTATGAGCTCTCCTTGGAACGGCAACAACTGACCTGCCGTGATGGGCAACACAACAGGATTAACTTCCCAGAAACCAAGTAATCTTCTAGAACACCTAAGGGGGGTGGCGGCATTAAATGAACTTATTATGCTAGGACAAAAATTAACACTAGCACAAGCAGATTTCCTCCCCTCTCTTTCCCTACCCATCATCCCTGCACCATCCCCAAATCTGCTCTTGAGGCTGGGGGGGGGGGGAATCAGAACAGATTTTAAGGCTGTGCAAGGCAAGGGGTTGGGAAAAGATCCTTATGCTTTTGAAATGTTCATCTTAGTGCTACACTGAATACCATGCAGTTGCAAAAAACAAGAGAAATAGTGTTGCCAAGCCAGTCCCCCCCCACAACACATCAGGGGAGGGGGGGAAGCACTGCATAACATTATTGCTTACATCTGAAGTCAAAACACTTTAAATGCCACCTTAGCAGTGACCAATCGCCACGAAGCACAGTGTGATGCAAAGGGAATACCAGTGAACTGACAATGAATGAATCCTCTACTGGACAACAACCTTTTCCATCCTGGAATGGTATCCATCATAATTTTTTTTTGGGGGGGGGGGAATGAATGAATTTGGGGACAGCTGAAAGGCAAATGCCACTGTTCAAACTCCCTTATAAACTGCAATTCAGTTTTGCCATATGTGAGATCATTCTCATATATATATATATATATATAGCACACCTTGTTGAGAGTGGAGCACACACACAAAAATCTTTTCTGCTGTTGAGATATTCAAAAATAATTGCTGGATTTGTAGCTAGCTCATTTAATTAAAAAAGAAAAAGGTCCTTAATTAATATGAGCATGATTTGGATAGCTTGGTTCATTTGTCATCCTTTCCAGAAAGAATTTAATCATTTATGGAGTTAACAAGGAATAGTTAATAAAAGGATCCACTTATTTTTAAATAAATAAATAAAATTCAGCTTCAGAATTTACCCTTAAGCTGCCACTGAAAAATGAAAGCCTTGGGTGAAAACAGTTTTTAAAATAATGGGTTTAATTCTCATCCCTAAATTCCCTGTAAGACCAGATGTTTATCATGGATGTTTACATTAAGCAAAGCGTGTCCTACCTCAAAGAGGGCAAGTGTTGCAGTGAGACCTGGAGACTGACTTCCTGTGTTGTGGGTGGGTATATTGGACAGCCACAACACTCGATTGGTAGGTCCCTCATTGCTGGGTTTAATCTGGCCAATGGGGTACAGTCTAAACGGATCAAGGGACCTATATATATGCACGTGACCCAGAGCTTCCTCTTTCAGCTCATGCATCGGAATACCCGCCCACCTCTCCCTATATTTAGGGCATTTTGTGATTGACCTTGTTATGCCGTGGTGTGTCATCTGTCATTGGGACAGGGGCACGGCAGGAATTTTCCCCACTTGGCTTATTGGCTGTTGCCATTTGGGTTTCACCTGCTGCGTAGCAAATCGTCACAACTTGTAAGGTTGCAGATAGGCACTGGTTCAGGTGATAGGGATGGGAGAACGGTCTCGCCATCCCTGTGTGAAGGGTATTCCATTAAAGGAATCCAGGGACTCAACTTGGTTTGGTCAACCCCCGTGAGGGGGTTGTGCCCGTGCCTGAGTCCAGGGGAGCATCTGGGGGGTGGACATTGTCTGTTCCCAGGCTTTCTGCCTACCTCAGGTGTTCACCCTTGGCTAACCTATGATAGAGCTCTGGGTCAGTGCTACCTGCAGGGAGCTAGTCGAACCAGAGCCTATGCAACCACTAACTCTCTGTAATCAATAAAGTTGTGGCCTAAATTCTGCCAAAATCCAAAACTAAAATTTGAGTCAAATGTGTGTTTATTTAGGGAGGTCTGAACACGCAACTACAAGTTCTGAAAACAAAAGTCACCATGTGCTCATAAGATAGTCTAATGAACCAACATAAAAGAACTGCAAGAATGTCTATGGATTTGCATCCAAGACAACTTTGTTCTCTGTTGTTTACATCATTTCACAAGCATGCAAATTATTGTTTGCCCAAGTAAATGACTTCAAGTAAAATTGCTGAAAGGATTTCAGATTGCTTTGCACTTGGCTGCTACATCATGAGGAAGACATATGCCAGGGCAGTTACTAATGCCCTTTTACACATTTGCTATGCTTTTAACATTGATCCAAAGTTTTTGAGCAAGACACAGTCTGAAGTCTTTGTGAGCTTACCGTAAAGCAAAGTACTTTTCGTGTTCTTCATTCAAGCTTGGACGTACATTGAGAGACCCACGAGAAGCAAAGTTCTGTATTTTGTAGTGTTTCCAGAAGGATCTCCTGTTAGAAAACAAAGAAGAAATCTTAAGAATTCATGGAGAGAGCACCATTTTCTTTATAACTTCTGTGTTAATCAAACCATACAAATAATAATCCAGCTTCTGGTATACCTCCCAGGTTCATGATCAGCTGAGTTAAAACAACACACTGTTCATTTGCACCACATTTGAGGAGGCTGGTTGCTACTAACCAGTATGAGGAAGAGGTCATGAGAACATTGTCAGTGCTGATGACTTTTGTCCTACTCAGTTGCTAAAAGTAAAAGAATGTGTCTTGCCAAATGCAAGGTGGTTCTTTTTATGAGATTCAGAAGCAATACAAACACAAGTGAGTAAGAAGATTAAATATTTTATTCTAAACAGCAAGCATTATATACATTACCAAGCAAGCACTTTGATCTGCCACAGGGAAGCCCTCAAGAAGTGGCGAAGTGAACCCCAGGTAGTCTCAAGTTGCACGAGCTTCTAGCCATCAGTTTGTACATGAGCTTCCAAGCTATGCCTCAAAACCACCTGATTTATAGATTATTGATAGCTACTGTAGCCTACATGGCTTGCCCAACTGCCTATGTGCAGATTATTCATTAGCTAGCTCCCTCTTCCCAGTGGCAGAGCAAACCAATCGGGTGCCTGGGGTGGTGCGAATGCCCTGCACCAGGGGCAGGGCCAGCCAGGGCAGAATGCTCTGCGGGGCCTCTAAGGAGTCTGCCTGCCTCACCCCACTCAGCCGCCCTACAGCTGAGGGGGAGGCAGCGGGCGGACCATTTGGGGCAGGGTGGAGCCTGCAGGTGCCCAAGCCACCATGTCACTCCTGGGAGAGATGCGTGGCTCGGGTGCACTGCAGGCCCCCGTGGTGAGCGCTGTCCTGTCATTTTGTCACCCCACTCATTGGTGACACCCGGGGCAGCTCGCCCCCACCGCACCCCCTTCCTCCGCCCCTGCCTCTTCCAATACCGCACATTCCTCCAAGCAATGTCTAACATCAAAGAAGGTCAAAAGGTACCCTGCATTATCACTTCTTCCTTCCACCAGATTATGCATTAAAGGCTGCTCTCAGCCCTCAAAGAGTAGAACAAGAGATAGAGGGAAAGTAAACTGAGGTAGGAAGAGATGACCAAGTTAGATCACTTATCTCCTCGAAATACAATTGTCTTCTGGATAAATTGCCCCTACAGATCATTGCTGGGATTTCCATGTGTCTTCTTTCCCCCACACACATCCTCTTTTTCAGGCATTAACATTTGGGACAAATTGCATTTATTTGCTCTGAATGGCACATTGATTGAAAACTGCTTTTGAAAACTCTGGCTATACTTTCTGGATGATACATATAGACATAACTGGTGGTTGAAGACTTGCTTTCCTCTTCACTTCTCCTGCCCCACTCAGCAATATGTCACAACTTCTACAGCCTACATGGAGTAGGGGTATTTAAAACGAGAGCTGTCATAGCATCCTCTTTTTTGCTCTTCAAAATATGGCAACCATAGTCATTGCTGCACCATCTTCCAGTGCAGTCGGTAAGCCATAAGGGGGCAGGGTGGGGGCGGGGGAAAGTAATCACAGTGAGATGTTCAGATTTGAAATCTGTATGTTTCAACACAAAATTAAGTTAGGGTAAGATTTTAGTTTGGTTCTCAAAAAGAGAACCATTTTAAAAGGAGGACAAAACTCCAACTCTGCTGCAGCAGAAATGAAAAGCAAAGAGGGATCAGGTATGAAAGGGTGGAAAGTCGGGCACAGGAAGCAGTTGCTGAGTCTTGCTCATGTGCTGACAGCAACATCTAAACCTGCAACCAACAGTTCCCTTCCCATAGCCTTAGCCAATCTTACCAGAGAGCAAAATTTAGCAAGAAATCTTAAAACACCAAAACACTCCTGACAAAAGGTTAGGAGTCAACTCACTACAATGACTACCTTGCATCCCTGAGTCACGTCTGATGTTTGTGTGTCCACTTTCAGTTCTGTATCTTTCCTGTTACCAGTTGATTCTCCCTCTCGTCTCTCCCTAGCATATTCAGAAGCTGAATTTCACACGTTACCCCTCTCCCCAGATCAATAATTAGAACCATGCACCTGAATGCATTTGCACCAACTCTAATCAACAGTTACTCTTTAAGAATCTTTCTTTTTCTAACGTGTCAGGTGGGAGGGGGAACCTGAAATCAAGAAACTGTGCTGAACTATATTAGCCGGCCATCAACTTCCCTATTTCAGCAACCTAAGGCTTTTGTATCTGACAGCACACTTCCTCATTAAGCATCTCTCTCTCTTCAGTATATGCAAATATGATGAGATTCTCACTCTTGCATAAGCCAATTAATTTACAGGGTGAATAATAAGCATGGCAATCAGAAGAGCACACTTAACACTGGTCGTCTTTGAAATGGGACTGTGCAGGTGCCCTTTCCCCCTTCAATTAATAGCTGATGGTCACTTTGCCAACTGTGCTACTGCTGGAGTCATAGAATCATAGAACGGTAGAGTTCGAAGGGACTCAAAGGGTCATCTGGTCCAACCCCCTGCAGGAAATTGGAAAGACACAAGGTAGCTAAAATAATAATAATAGGATGCTACCCAAAGCTATATATACACACTTCGTGTTGTCAGCACACACAAGAAGTAACTATCCTCTGGATCGGGGGTAGGCAACCTAAGGCCCGGGGACCGGATGCGGCCCAGTCGCCTTCTCAATCCGGCCTGCAGACGGTCCTGGAATCAGCGTGTTTTTACATGAGTAGAATGTGTCCTTTTATTTAAAATGCATCTCTGGGTTATTTGTGAGGCATAGGAATTTGTTCATTTTTCTTCTTCTTCCAAAATATACTCCAGCCCACCACATGGTCTAAAGGACGGTGGACCGGCCCATGGCTGAAAAAGGTTGCTGTCCCCTCTAGATATTGCACATCTTTGATTTTGTGATGCTTTTCTCAGATCAGACAAATACCAAAGTCTTTATTTAATGACAAAATGTGTTTAGAAATATGTGCTTGGTAATAAATAAACTGTATGAATTCTTACTTTGTGAAAAAAGGTCAAAACAGTATTTAATACTTTAATATCTTTATTCTGGCGCCAATATTTCTTCTTCTTTTTTACTACAGTGTAATTCAGAAAAAGGATGAAACAGACTTCTGAACATGCAAGTCTGAAACAGAGCAGAAACTGACTGAATAATTCATTCCTAACAGCAACCATAGCACAGCTTGATTAAAACCTGTACAGTTCTCTCTTAAGGATGTTTAGAACCCACTTCCGAAATTTCTCTGAGCTTCTCCAAACTCATAGCGCATTCCTCAAAACTCCAACCTAGGTTTGCCTGAGAAGGAATCTCAAGATTCACCAATTTAATTTTTATTTGTAAGAAATGTTAAACTGAGGGTCCAGAATGCAAAGCTGAAATGCATGGGCTCAGCCTAGATGTGGTTTGTCTACGCCATTCCAGAAAGTATCCAGGTTAAGTTTTGTGTGCATACCTCATCAAAAAGGTATTTTGTAGAAGTGCCCTCACTATCACCCAACAAGAAATAAGATGTGCCCCCACAAAAGCCATGGCAGCTTCATATTGCGAGGAAGTGTTGGCAATAGCGAAGCAAATGCCTTTTAAAGAAACTTGTTCACCTTACTGGATTTGAGGAATCTGTGATAAGTGAACAAAGACTGCACATAGTACTGATGCTGACTACTAAAGCTAGTAGACAATGGAACCCTATAAGTACTCTCTGCCATGATCCACTGTTCTGTTGCCAGCGTCAGAAAACTGGGCTACAGTAGGTCGCTGATGTAACCCAGTTAAGCACCTGTTACCCATTTACTTGTTTGTTAAGCACATCTTCAAAGTTCCTTCTCATGCATCTGTAATGTGTCAAATGCATTCTGACGCTATATGAAGTGCAATTCCCATAGAAGCCAGGATCTGAGGTTCTCAGAAATTCAGATATTACAATGTTGGCATCTAATTAAATAGGTTAGACAGGCCCGCTGCTCTCCCTAAAGCACAAAACTCTTCAGACCCAGTTGCCTGAAAGCCAATTAGTAAAGACGTTGCTCGTTGTGTTCTGGGAACTAAGGCTATGATCTGAAAAGCAGTGATATAAATATTAATACTTTCACTTGCTGTTCTGACATCTCACTAGTCTGAAACAATAGGCCTGCCATCTTGCGTGAGGGAACTTCTTTTAAGTCATAAGTTCAGATGACAGATTGGGTCCAGGTCATAAACTAAGTTGACAAGGAAAACCCATTAGTATTCTTGACTCTCAAAGATACCATAATGTTTAAAGAAATGAAGACAAGCTATAGGTGAAGTGTGTTCACATTGGAATTTGAAACACAGTGGAATGGAGACGCAACCTCAAAAATATGTCATAGGTCTCATTCACATAACCATTATAAGCCAGATGAGCAGATGCATGTACCTCATATTGAGGTCAGACTGTTGGCCCATGTAGTCCAGTGCTGTCTATTCTGATCGGGAGTGCGTCTTCAAGGTATCACATATTTCCTAACTGCTGAGTTCTTTTGAACTGCAGATGGTGGGATGGTGGGGATTAATCCTGCACCATCTATATCATGCAGGGAATAAGCTCTGTCATTGAGCTATGTGAAATACGGGGAGGTTATGTAGTTTTTTCAGTGGTTTGTACCACACACACACACACACACACACACTTAAAAACTAAACCTAGATGAGTTCCAAGAAACACATTATTGTTAGAAATTCCTGCTCCATTAAAACCAAAGTGGGTTTGCAATCTATTTCTATCAAAGGACTGCAGCCTTGAAAGCCTTTGATATGTTCTAAGTCCTCCAATGCTGCTAATCAATCACAGGTTTGGGACTATGAAATCATTTTTATTTATTTTCTATCCACTTTTTGCCGGAGGTCTCTCAAACTCGACAAAGAGCTTTGCTTAGTGCCACCAACTAGCATCTGGTAAGAAAAGTCACAAGTTTCTTGTGATGATGCTATAAACTTTGTGGCAGCACTAGAACTTCCTT